GGATAAAGAAGGTGAAGGGATTAGCTAAAGAGCATATATGCATAGCCTATGGACACAGACAATAGTATGGCTAGGGCCTAGGGAGGTGGGGGCAAGGCGGGGAGGAGGTGGGCAAAGAGGGGGGAAAATGGGGGACATCTGTAACAGTGTCAACAGTAAAAATAAATTTTAAAAAGAAACTGGAAAAATTCCAAATAAACAATCTAAATTTACACCTTAAGAAACTAGAAAAGGAGGAACAAACAAAACCCAAAGTGAATAGTATACAGGAAATAATAAAGATCAGGGTGGAAGTAAATAAAATAGAAAGTAGTAAAACAATAGAAAAGATTAATGAAAGTAAGAGGTGTTCTTTGAAAGGATAAATAAAATTGACAAGCCTCTAGAGAGACTCATCAAGAAAAAAGAGAGATAGGGCGCACACACACACACAAAATAGAAATGAAAGAGGAGAGATTATGATTGACATCACAGAAATACAAATGATCATTAAAGAATACTATGAACAATTATATGCCAACAGATTGGAAAATCTAGAAGAAACAGATAAATTTCTAGACCTGTAAAACCTTCCAAGACTAAACCAGGAAGAAACAGAGAATCTGAACAGACCAATTACTAGCAATGAATTTGAAGCAGTAATAAAAGAAGACTCCAAACAAACAAAAGCCTAGGACCAGAAGGTTTCCACAAGTGAATTCTGCCAAACATTTAAAGAATTAATAACTACCCTTCGTGAGCTATTCCAAAATATGTTGAACTACTCCTGTGCCCCTGGAATGAACCCCACTTGATGGTGATGTATTATCTTTTTAATATATTGTGTTAAATTTGCTAGTATTTTGTTTAGGGTTCTTGCATCTTTAGTCTACAGTTTGTTTGTTTTTTGTGTTATCCTTTCCAGGTTTTGTTATCAGAGTTATGTTGGCTTTATAAAATGTGTTAGGAAGTATTGCCTCTTCTTCAATTTTTTGGAAGAGTTTAAGAATAATAAGTATTAAATCTTCTTTGAATGTTTGGTAGAAATCACTGGTAAAGCCATCTGGTCCTGGACTTCTATTTTTTGGGGGGTTTTAGATGGTTGCTTCAATTCCCTCACTGTTGATTGATCTATTTAGATTTTCCAAGTCTTTGATTAAGTCTAGGAAGGTTATATATTTCTGGAACTAATTCATTTCTTCTAAGTTATTGAATTTGGTGGTATATGGTCTTTTATAGTATTCTTCTGTGATCCTTTGTATTTCTTTGTAAGTCTGTGGTAACTTCTCTTTCATTCCTGATTTAGTTTATTTTAATCTTTTCTCTCTTTTCCTTAGTGAGTGTAGCCAGAGGTTTGTCAATTTTATTAATCTTTTCAAAGAACAAGCTCTTTATTTATTTTGTATAGTCTTTTTATTCTCTATTTCACTTAATTCTGCTCTTTTACTATTCTGCTGCTGCTTTGTGCTGCTTTTCTTTCTTTTTTTCTAGTTCTTTTAGAGGTAATGTTAGGTTGTTTACTTGGGATTTTTTTCTTGTACCTTGAAATAGGCCTGTAATGATACAAACTTCCCTCTTATAACTTATTTTGCTATATCCCAAAAGTTTTGATATGTCTCAGTGTCATTCTCGTTTGTTTCTATATATCTCTTGATCCTATTTCTTCTTTAACCCAGTCATTTTTTAGTAGCATGTTGTTTAATCTTTACACATTTGTGTTTTGTTTCACTCCCTCTTTGCAGCTGATTTATACTTTCAAAGCAATGTGGTCAGAGAATATGCTTGTTATGATTTCAGTCTTCTTAATTTTGTTAAGGAGAGGTTGTGGAGAAATGGAAACACTCATTCACTGCTGGTGGGAATGTACACTGGTACAGCCACTATGTAAAACAGTACAGAAGTTCCTCAAAAAATAAAGAATAGAGTTATTATATGACCCAGCAACACTTCTGGATATGTACCAGAAATATTTGAAAACATTTATTCCCAATGATATATGCACCCCTATGTTCACTGCAACATCTTTCATGGTAGCCAAGACATGGAAACAACCAAAGTGTCCTGCTATAGAGGACTGGATAAAGAATATGTGGTGCATGTACACAATGTAATACTACTCAGCCATAAGAAAAGATTAAATACTGCCATTTGTGATAGCATGGATGGATCTTGAGAATATCATGCTAAGCAAAATTAGTCAGACAGAAAAAAGCCCCACAGGACTGACCATAATGTGAGATTCCATGTTATTGTTGTTTGTTTGGAAGTGAAAATAAATGGTTGAACCCCCTCAAGCACATGGACACAGAGCACCTGCTGTCAGCTCTCTGAGAAATGCTCTGGGAAGACAAGCTGACTCTCTCTCACTCTCAGATGCTGAATTGAGATCCCACCCGAAGTGCACTTTTCAAAAGGGGGAGGAGGCTGCACCGTGGATGGATGAGAAGACAAACATAGACATGGTGAGAGGTGTGAAAAAGCCCATTTCCCAATTGCCTATGTGCAAATTGTAAACTTGTTCACAGTATGGTCTTTGAAAACATTTAGATGATTAGGAAGAAGTAAAATATATGAGTCCCCTCTTCCTTCCTTCCACAGCCCTCACTATGCAGTAGGCATCCCTGACAAAACCCCTTTGTGCCAGGTCCCATACCTGCTTCTGTGGGCCTCCAGGTAGAGCATCTGACTGAATCACTTTCTCCAAAGGCCAATCTCTGGAAGCACTGTTTCCATTCTCATCAGAATCTACTACAGACTACCTATGGAGTCAATCCTGATTTATCTGCTAGACACGCCAGAGTGAGTGGGGGAGTTGGGTATGGAGAAGGCAGCACTTTTCAGTCCTGGACCCATTAACTCATGGTTGGGCAGGGGAAGAGTGATCCAAGACACACAACATACAATGTGTAACATCACTCTTTATTATGAAAAAACTACAACAGTGATCATGAATGGGGAAAATAAACAGAACAAAGGATACTTCAGGCGATTAGGCAACTTTGGCTTCTTGGTCAGCCAGGCCTCCAGCTCCAGTCATGGGTATGACCTTAGGCAGGAGAAAAGAGAAACGATGGTGATGAAGACAAAAATGACATCCAAAGGCTCTTTTTTCTCCTTTTTTAAAAAATCTTTATTGTTGAAAATATTACAGGTGTCCCCTTTTTCCCCCATTAACCCCTTCCAGCCTGCACCCACTCCCCGTCCCAGACCTTCACCACGCTATTGTCTGTGTACATGGGTTATGCATATATGCATATAAATTCTTTGGTTAATCTCTCCCCACACACCCACTCACACACCCTGACCTTCCCTCTGAGGTTCGTCAGTCTGTTCCATGCTTCTATGTCACTGAATCTATTTTGTTCATCAATTTATTATGTTCTTTAGATTCCACAAATAAGTGAGATCATGTGATATTTGTCTTTCTCTGCCTGGCTTATTTCACTTAGCATAATATTCTCCAGGCTGTGGGACATTTACACCACAGAATATTATGCAGCTATAAAGAAGAAAGATCTCTTACCCTTTGGGACAGTATGGATGAACCAAAAGCTCTTTTTAAGGGATTTGTTTGAAGGCCTCTTCTGGGATCTTGCCCTCAGCCTGGAGAGGAGGAGTCAGGGTGTGGGAAGAGCCAGCTCCCTGAGTTTCATTCCAGGGAACCAGCCTCCACCTTCTTGGCCTTCCCAAAGGCCCCAAAACATCTGTCTTTAACCCACTTGATACCCAGCCCTCACCTTGAGTGTAGTGAAAACCTGAGCAGCTCTGGTGTAGTTCCACTCATTGTCCTGAAGGCATCTGGAGTGGGAGAAGAATAGGTGATCTCCATTAGTACCACAGTACAGACACATTGACCTTGCAATGCCACCACAAAATCTATGCCAATGAATCTATGCTGGGACACATGTACCAGAATAAGCACTATGTGTAATGAGGAAGAAAGACCTATTGAAAACCAAAATGTCTGTCACTAGCATTCATGCCCACTAGAATTCAAAACGGAACAGAGATGTTCAAAAGAACAAGAGAGCTTAATATATGTTGATAAAGAAAGATGTTCAAGAAAATAACAAATGGAAACCTATAAAATACAAGTTTTCAATTATATTTTATAGCATTCACCATTTTAATGTGTACAATTCAGTTCTTTTTAGTATATAACAAGAATGTGCAACCATCACAAATATCTAATTCCGAAATATTTTCATCACCTCAAAAAGAAACTCCTTAAGCATAAGAGATCGCTCCCTATTCCTCCCCTTTCCCTAGACTCTGGCAATCACAAATCTTTTTTCAGTACCTATGAATTTGCCTGTACTGGACATTTCATGTAAACAAAATCATACAATATGTGACCATTTGTGACTGGCTTCTTTCACTTAGTGTAATGTCTTCTAGGTTCGTCTATGGCATGACATATATAAGAACTGTGTTCTTTTTATGACTAAATAATATTCTACTGTACCGATGTACCAGATTCATTCATTCATTCATTCATTCATTTATCAGATAAAAGACATTTAGGTTGTTTCTACTTTTTGGCTGTTAGGAGTAATGTTGGTATGAACCTTCCTGTACAAGCTTTTGTGTGAATGTATGTTTTAATTTTTCTTGTTATATACTTAGGAGTGAGATTACTGGGTCATATAGTAACTCCATGTTTAACATGTTGAGGAACTTCCAAAAAGTTTTCCACAGTGAATGCTCCACTTTACATTTGAACCAGTTATATATGAAAGTTCTAATATCTCCACTTCCTCATCTACACTTATCTTCCGTTTCACTCAAAAGCCATCTTAATGTGTATGAAGTGGTATCTCCTCCATGTTTGATTTTAATTTCCCTAATGGCTAATGATGGTGAGCATATTTTGTGGGTCATTTGTATATCATCTTTAGAGAAATGTCTATTCAAGTCATTTCCCAATTTTCAAATTAGGTTGTCTATTGTTGTTAGTGTCCTCAGATATTCTGGAAATAAACCTTATCAGATACGAGACTTGCAGATATTTTCTCCCATTCTGTGAGTTGTAGTTTCACTTTCTTGACAGTGTCCTTTGAATGTACAACAGATTTTAGCTTTGATGAAGTACAATTTGTTTGTTTCTTTTGTTGCTTGTGTTTTAGGTGTCATATATAAGAAACCATTGCCTAATTCAAGATCATGAAGATATACACCTATGGTTTCTCCTAAGAGTTTTCACAGCTGTAGATCTTACATTTAGGTCTTTGATCCATTTTGAGTAATATTTGTATATGGTATTTGGTAAGGGTCAAAATGCATTATTTTTTTTGCATGTAGATATATAGGTGTCTGTTGAAAAGAGTGTTTTTCCTCAATTAAAATTTTTTTGGCATCTAGTTGAAAATCAATTGACTATAAATGTCACAGTTTATTTCTGGACTCTCAATTCTATTGCATTGACCTGTATGTCTACTCAAATGTTAGTACCAGTGTAGTCTTGATTACAGCAACTTTGTAGTAAGCTTTGAAATTCTGGGGATTGAGAATTATGACTCCTCCAACCATATTCTTCCCTTTCAATATCGTTTTTAGTATTCTAAGTCCACTGCATTTCTATGTGAATTTTAGGATCACCTTATCAATTTCTTGAAAAAAGCCAGCTGAAATTTTGAGAAGAATGGTGTTGGATCTGTGGACCAGTTTGAATAGTATTACCATCTTAACATTAAGTCTTGCAAATCATAAACATAGAATGACATTCCCTTTTTTGGTCTTATTTAATTCATTCAAAAATATTTTGAAGATCTTAAAGTATAACTTTTCCCAGTATTTTAGTCTTATTTTTGATTCTGTTATAAATGAAATGATTTTACTTAATTTCATTTTAAGATCGTTCATTGTAGTATATAGAAATACAAATTATTTTTGTATATTGATCTTATATCCTGAAACTGTGCTAAACTTGTTTGTCTATTCTAATTTTAGTGGATTCCTTAGGATTTTCCTTATACAAGATCATGTCATCAGAACATAACACTATTTAAAAATTTTTTTTAAATCCTCACCGAGGGATAATTTTTCCTTTGCTTTATAGAGAGAGTGGAAGGGAGGGAGGGGGGCAGAGAGAGAGAAACATCCATGTGAGAGAGACACATCCATTGGTTGCCTCCTGCACGAGCCCTAACCGGGGCCAGGGATCTAACCTGCAACCCAGGTACATGCTCTTGACTGGGAATCGAACCCACAACCCTTTGCTGTGTGGGCCAATGGTCTAACAGCTGAGCCACACCGGCCAGGGCACATTATACTATTTTAATCATCATAAAATTAGGATACGTTCTTCATGGGCCTACTATTTTTGGAAGCAAAAGATCAAATGCTTATTTTTCCAAATTGTTTATGTGTTCCCATAATTCAGCCCCACACTGCTTAAGCTACCTCTTATCCTTGAGCACACCCAATACTCACTTCTGAGACCACTGTGGTTTCATACCAGACTGGATGGAGAAAACCTGCACCATTTCCTGCTGCTCCTGGGAGAAGATAGGCCCAATGTTGCAGGAGGGTGAAGGCACCGGGGCAGAGAAGGCCTTCTGAGTCTCACTGGAGGTGGCGTCCCTCACAAACAGCTCATCATTCACAATGAACATACTGCAGAAAAATGATTCTTCAGACAACTGATGGAAGGATAACTCCACACCCTCAACAATGATCCTGTTTACGCTGCCACTCAGCAACCAGATTCCTCCAACACCCTGTCTGTACCGTCTGTACCTGTACCCCAGATTCCTTGCCTGGTAGCTCTGCCACTCCCACAGACCCCACCTTTGGAGAGACTGTCTACCAGCTTCACTAGATTTGTACGCCTAATCCCACTGAAATTACTCTGTGAAACAGCCCAAGGGAGAGGGCAGTCTAATCCCATTTTCAGAGGAAGACATAGTGTCACAGAGAGGTCATGTGATTTCACTAAAAAATAAATCTAGTGAGTGTTGGGGTCACTAAGAGGACCTCAAAGAAACCTGAAACACTTTCAGTGTCCTAATCCCACAGCCCATGCTCTTGACCCCTAAGCAGGACCGTTTCTTGGATCAACCTTGGATCTGCTGGTTTCCCACAACACACGGAGAAAACCCCGAGGACATGCGCTGCCACATTCCCAGAGCCCTGAGCCCAGGCTGAGCTGCGTGTTCCCATCCAGAGCACAGCACTCACCTGGAATTGCTGCCAGGGGTAGCGATGAAGGTCCGGGTGAAGGCGCGCACAGAACCCTGAGACCTTCCTTCCACTTCAACAACAACAAACAACAATACCACGTTGTAATCCCACATGCTTCATTCACTCACACAGCATTCTCCAGTCAGGGTGGGATTCAATATTCATGCAAAGGGGACAACTGTTCCCTGGGAGTCAGGGTGTCAGGAATGGGGAGGGCAACCATAGGAGCAATCTGCTGCCACTGACACTGACCTTACTATGTGCTGGGCCCTGGGACAACCACTTCACAAGTTCATTTGATTCATTTTTTTGCAGCTACCCAAGAGGTGAGCATTATTTAGCAAATAAGAAATATGAGAAGTTAGATAATGGGCCCAAGTTCACATAGTCAGGATCTGGGATGACAACCATCAAACCTCCCAGCCTCTGCCCCCAACACCCTAGCTGTGCAGGGCTGACAGGCATAGATGCAGGTAAGACCAGGATGGTTTGGGAGCAGACTGGAGGCAGGAGAACAGAGATGGAACAGTAAAGAAGGGGAAGGGATCAGGGAAGCTGAAAGAGTTCTGAAAGGAAGCCCAGCCAGAAGGAGGGAGCAGTGGGGCATCTGGGGAGAGGACTCTACACACACTCACCTTCCTTGAACATCCCGTTGACAGAGAAGCAGAGCATCCTTTCCTGAAAGGGAAGGCCCAGGTGCTCAGTCTACCTATACCTCCCACCCACCTGCATCTTTCTGGGCTTACCCTGGGGAGGAAGTGGGTGCTCACCGACTGAAACCACATGTCCACCACGAAGGAATTGAGGTCATGCTGAGTTCTGGGCAATATACTCAGGTAGCTCACAACGTCATGATTTGTACATTTCAGCAGCTGAAAACGCAGGTCTATGAGGGATGGACAGCAAAGGTCAAGGTTGCCACACCCTGGGCCCTATGACTGACCTTTCATTCCCCATTGCCCTGCCCAATCTTCCCCATCCCACACGCACTGGGGTCCTTGAGGTTCTTCATATTCCTATTATCCTTGAAGTACTCAAACAAGCTGCTTCTAGGAGAAAAAGAGGAATAGGATGTGGTGGTCTGGCCAGTGTGTGTGTTTCCATGAGCTGACCAGTTTCTGCTGGGGAGACACATGCCCCAGAATCAAAGTCTGAGTTGCGATACTCACGGGGCTGGATCATCTGGAGTGAAGGGAATGGTCAGGGAGAAGCAGGCCTCATCGTGATAAGCACCAAGGAGACTCTGTCTGTCTCCAGAGTCATAGATCAAGTAATATCTGTGAGGGGATAATGAAGGCAGTCTATCTCTATGGACTGGACCTCAAAGGGGACTTGAAAACTCTCAGGAGCATACCTGTGCTTGGGTGGCCCAGACTGTCCCAGCCTTCCCCATTTTTTGGTGGTCACAGGAGTACTTACTGCTGCAGGAAATGCTGGACTTGAGTCTTCAGAACATCAAATACTTCACAGCTTTCCTGGAATCAAAGGCATTTGAGACCATGTGGCTGATAAAGCCTCCCTTACAATAGCCCAAGTGTTGATATTTATTCCTCACCTTGACGGGTTTTATTAAGTGGGGTCTGTCAATGTCAACAGTAATCGGTGGAACTAAATCCTGGCCATCCTGGAGACAGGAAGATAAGTTAGCAGTGCAGACCAGGGAGGTGGTCCTGGGTGATTAGGGGAAAGCATGGGCCCAGGAGATAGTGAAGTCAGAAGTCAAGAGTGAAAGGGCCCTGGAAATTCCATGGGCAAGATTCCAGTGGGTGTCTGCAGCAAGAGGTCCTGGACGTCTCTACTGTTTTAGGCAACTTGTGTGTATGTATATGTGAGTCTGTTTTTCTCTCTTTTCTTCCCTCCTTTGTGCGCTCTCTCGCTCGCTCTCTCTCTCTCTCTCTGTGTGTGTGTGTGTGTGTGTGTGTGTGTATTTTCACAGAGATCATTCATATTCGTGCCCTTTCCAGGAGTCCATGTCCCCCCAAATGGATAAGACTCTGATGCAAACATGTCATCTTGGCAAGACACAAAGGGCTTGAGGGCAGATGTGGAGATCATCAATGTTAGTAAGAGACAGTGATGAATATAGGTACTTACCAAGCGTGACAACTTGGGGAAACATTTCCTGATGACACTGTCCAAATCCAAAAATAAAAAGAAGTGGTTGATAGTTTGGGTTGCAAAGTTTCCATTTACTTAAAACACTCATGGCATACACAGAAACAGCTGTTCTGCCCTTTACCATCCTCAGCCTCTGATTTCAAGGCTTCTGGGTCCATTCCCTGCTGATCACTGACCATCTGCCAAATGGAATCTCTGAAATGCAGTCTCTTCATCTCTCTCCACACCTGCACCTTCATATTACGTCCCTTCCTTCCTCCCTCCCTCACCTTTTCCTTCTCTTTCTTCCTCTCCATCTCCCATTCCATCCTCCTGGTTAGCTCCCTCCTAAAGGGCCCTGACTCCTTCTCCAGTGCCACAAAACACAGCATTTGGATCCCAGAGTGCAGGGCTTCTTCCCCCTCCCTGCCTCCCTTCCTTCCTCCAAGCCCCCACTGATAGCTCCAAAGAGAAGAGGGAATGGGGTGGGGACCCAGGGGTCTGTTACCTCATTGGGGGCCCAGCATCCTGCCAGGAACCAGACATGCCCCATGGATGACCCGGGATGCTGGGGCAAGGAGGTGAGTGAGGGATTAGGAGGCAGGGAGGGAAAGGAAGGGGGATGAAAACAGAAAGAGACTGAAGACAGGAGCAGAGATTGGAAAGATGTGGAGGAGTAAAAACAAAGGAGAAAGAGAAAGAAAAAGAAAGGAAAGGAAAGGGAAAGAAGCTCTGCCCTGGCAGTAGGGGTGGGGTCAGGGAAGAAGAGAGAAGAATGGAGACATGGCTCCCCTGCAGCAGCCCTTTCCTTCACCTTCCCTGGGCTGGCCCTGGGTCTCCAGGTTGGAATGGTAAGCACGCACCTGTTGTTCTCAGGGTCATGGGATGTTAGTTGAGCCTTTGTTACCTGTGGGACTCAATCTGAACTGGGCATGGGAAACACACTAGTGACTGGATCAAGAAATCTTCCCTAGAAGGAGTAAAGGATTCTCCCCAGCTCAATTTGGGGTGGGAGGTCTGTAGCCCCCTCATGTGATCACCACCTTCTCTCCTCATTGCACCTGTGCACCTGTGCCTGTCTTAGTTGGTTCCTTGCATGAAGAATCCTACCTGTTTCAGGCTTCCCAAGGCTCCTCTGAAGGACCAAGCAGGTGATGTGATGTGTGCAGGAAGGGGCAGTGCCCCTGAAAAGACTGTTCTTCTTTCTCCTCAAACCCCTCTGGCCTCTGCCTTCCACTGCTGCCTCGAGAGGCCTTCTGCTAGTGGCTCACTTCTTGCCCTGACTCAGGAAACTCTGGATTCTACCAAGTATGACCCCTCCCTAGTATTGTACTAAAGAAACAGATGTCATAATGACAGCCACCCAGGGCCTGGTTCCTTGGTATGGGGCAGGGAAGTCCCCATGTCAACCTGCCATTCTAGGGGCGACCCTTTATGTGCAAGGGAAAGAAGGGTCCTCCCAGAACAAGTTAGGGATACTCTGTATCCTCTCAGAAGCAGAAAGGACTGTCTCAGCATGATTCTGGGGTGGAGGATGTTCCTCAGCCCATATCAGCAGTATCTGCCTCAAGGCTCAACACTCTTAGTCCTGGTGAGGAGGTAACCCTGCATCCTGGGACACACTCTTGGTGGGCATGCTAGAGAAAACTAGATGCAGAGCTGGGAACCAGACCCCAGACCACAAGAACAAGTGAGCAGGTCAGAGGAAGGGTAGGAGACATCTCAGCACAGGCAAGGGTCAGAGAGAAGAGAAGTTGGGTCCTCTAGTCCTCCCAGAGGTCCAGGGCTGCCACTTTCTGAGGCAGGGCACTGTCAGGGGTAGTTCAGGGTCCTGGAGGTCAAATGTTCCCATTAAGGGTGACAGGTGTTCACACTGACCTTATGTAGGTGAACTGGTTTCTGAAGGTGCCACACAAAGGGTTCCCTTCCAGCCACAGCTCTTTGAGCTTCAGGCCTTTGATCTTTCCCAACTCCCAGGTGGATTTCAGCTGAGAAATATGGGGAGGAAAACTGAAAAATGGTCCCCGGAAAAGAGGGACATCTGGGCTCCTGCAACCACAGCCCCCTCCCTTCCCTACAGGTACTGTTGTCTGCCCACTGTCATCACTCTGATAACCATTACCATCCACTCTCAACCCAACTTTGCTCTGTCCCTCTTCTCACCTCATTTTTTGAGAGGTTCAGAATCTTGACTGTGGGGGCCATCTGTGTAATATCAGACAGGCCATCCAGCTGGTACAGTCTATTGTTGCTCAAGTTCAAGGACAACAGCTTTGGGGAAGAAGAGTTAGCGTGATGCTTACTATCTAGGACCTCAGAGACAAGTATGCCCTACATCCCATCTCTTCCACCCCCTACCATAACACCAGCACTGGTTCTAAGGCCTCACCTCAGGAAAATTCTTTTCGATGATCTGCAAGGTGGCAGCCATGCAGTTTCTCCGATTCAGGATTATATCAATATCAAGATATGCAAAACCTTCAAGAAGGTGAGAGTACAGAATCACAAGGCTGAGAGGGGTCCAAGAGCAACACAACCTCTCCTTCATTACCATCCTTAAGTCTCCCTCCCTCCCAGGCAGAACCCTCTGCCCTCACCTGCCCTAGAATTATTACTGTCAGTTGTACCTGGGTCATAGCGGAGACTCTGGAGGTCAAGAGCTTTCTGGGAGACATCATATCGTTTGCTCATGGTCAGCTGCAGAGTGAGATGAAGAGAGAGCTCTAAAGCTGTGGTGGGAACAGGGAAGTCAGGGGCTAGAGGAGGAATAAGTGGGTCTGGGTATGGGCACACATATGCCTTGACTGTGCATTACCTTTAGCTGCTCCATTTCTTCTGGCTCCAGTTTATCCTGCACAGAGTAGGGCACAGCCGAAGTATTGGCAAAGATAGCTATCTGCAGGAAGAAGTGGGGTAAGCAACAAGAACTCTAGTCCTACAGAAGGTAACCAGCTCTGCCTGTCCTCCTGCCCAGGGACTAAGTACAGATAATGACCTCTACAAATACCTTTCGGTTCTCCTCATCACAAATCTTGTAGCTGACGTCCTTCAGTGCAGAGACAGCACTAGCATCCTGGACAAAGAACTGGGCCTTGTTTTTCACATAGTGAAACTACAAGGATTGAAGGCAACAACAATAGTGTCAGAGGCCAATGGCCCAAGCTGAGCCAGGTTCTCCCCCTTCCCTGTGCCCCCTCATCTGGCTTCACCATCCTCTCTTACATCCACTGGAGTGAAGGGAACACTGCAATGACTCTGGATTGAATCCATCAGCCATGTCTTGTCATACTTTCTTCCATAGGGAATCTAAGGGTCAGAAGGAGAGATAGAGAGAGGAGAGACAACATAGAATTAAGGCTGGAGAACAGACCCAACACCTTGTTCTTTTCCAAACTTCTACAGAACCTTAAAGTGCTTCTAAAGAGAGGACCACTGGCACGATTTATCATCTTTGTTCTAAATGTCAATTTCATACATCCTTTTTTCTTCATTCAAAATCTCTCATCCAAGTAAGCAATGTAAGGTGTTTAATGTGGTCTTCCTTTTATAAGGTTCCAGGATATCTCATTTAGCACAGACTTTGCCATGATACTCACTGTGATCTTGAACCATCTCCCTGTGGTTTCATCTTGTGTGTTCTTCTCCATTTCTCTTTCCAGAGGTTTTCTACCTCTCCACACAGTAATATCACTACAGCATTTGTTACGCAATTTCACGGCCCTTTTGTTTTGTTGTATGGTATAGGGTGTGCTGTAAGAGGGAAGTACAGAGAAAAAGGGTGGCCATGAATGTTAAGAAAGTCTTCTATATATCCTTACATCTCTGACACCAGGACCATAATTAGCATTGTTCAACCATGATTTCACTTCTGGAATTCTTCAGTTTTCCAGTGAGAGAAGAAAAAGAAAACCATGGGCAGAGAAGGAGTTGCACAGTCCCATGGGCTGCTACATGCAAACCAGGCTGCTGGGTCACTTACTGTCTGACTTGGTACTTCTGCACTCCCCTCATCTCCATGTTTCCATCATCCTTCTGGAGGTGTGAAGGCTGAAGTCCATACCCACCATGTTGATAAAGACAAGTCCTCTTGCCAAAATTACCTCGAAAAAAACTCCAGCCTTTCTTTTTCCCTTGAGGTGAGCTACCACCATCATTGTTTTCTGAAACAAGGAACAAAAATACAAGTTTGGAAACACGTCTGTGGCCACTTATCATGTACCATGCCTTAGGTTAGTGCCATGTGAGGGCAGCAAAGTGCCAACCTGCTGTAAGAGACCAGACCCATAAACCCCAAAAAGGAAACACCTCTGCCTGTCCAGATAGTAGAGCCTTATTTGACAGATGGTGCTATGAGGGGAGAAATCATGCAGGATGAGGAAGGAGGAGTAAGAACAGCAGGAGGATGGGAGAGGGGAAGAGAAGGAGCTCACTGTGTTGAACCCTTTAAAAATGGATCAGGATTTATAAAGAACAGAGGTGTATGCATCCATGGATTAGAGTGAACTCCAGCCATACATCAGGAAGTCATGTGACTCTTCCATCAGGGCTCTCTAACAACCCCACCAATACATGGGAAGCAACCTCTCTCATGCTTCCCAAACCCAGTCAGCCACCACACTGATTCCACTAACACTCAGCAAGCTGTGCTTCCTTTGCTGCTGCAGTACAAGCTTTAATGTCAGGTGGAACAGAAGTATTAGCCTCCTAAACTGTCTTCCTCCCTCCTGCCATTTTCCCAAAACTACTCTATTTGAAATATCCAGAGTGAGCTTTCTCTTTGCCCACTGAAATGCCTTTGAGTTCAGGAGACAGCTCTTTCTAACCTCAGCTCTTTATAACAAGGGTCTGGACAACAAACTGGAATGATGTTTCCATTACCATTTCCAAATATCTAGGGATTCTTCCTTTCTCTTTCTATTATCAAGTTCTCATTTAATTCCTCTATGGTCAGAGAACATACTCCATGTGATTTCAATTCTTTTTAAACCTGTGGAGATTTCTTTGGTGGCCCAGAAGATGGCTTGTCTTGGTGAATGTTACATAGATACTTGAAAAACATTGTATTCTGCTGCTGTTAGGTGGAGTGTTCTATTTGTCACACAAATCCTGTTAGTTTATTGTTATTAGGATCTTCTATATGCTGATTTTCTCTCTAGAAATTCTTGCTGAGAGTGGGTGTTGAAGGCTCCGACTATCATAGTGGACTTGACTACTTCTACTTTCAGCTCCATTAGTTTTTGCTTCGTGTACTCTTTGGCTCTGTTGTTTGGTGCATACACACTTAGGTCCATTATGTCTCCCTGGTGGATTGGTCCTTTTATCATTGTGTAAAGCCTCTCTTTAAGAAGTCTCTTGTATGTTTTCTACTTTATTGGAGATCGTAGCCACAGGTATGCTCATAAAGTGTCTTGGTTATGTTGCACTGGGTATTCACTCCTAGGAGTTGTGCTGCTGTCCACCCCTCCCCCCACACTCCTGCCAACATGTAATTTAACATGTGGAAGGATTTGGCAGTTTTTGGCATCTACAGAAATAAGGTAGTCTCAATTCTCTCTCTCATATGTGGATTCACTGAGGTATTTTATTTTTACCACATTCAACTGAAACACTGTACCAGCAGACAACAACACTGGTGGTTTTGGGGTCAGAAAGATTACGGGAATTAAGCTGTAGAAACCAGCTTCTTGTGGGGGTGTCATATTTAATGTTCCGTAGATTTGTGTTATACACTTTGTATATTAATTACTCCATATTGCCTCAAGACCACTTATGAGTAAAATTCTGTTCATTACTGATTATTCCGCAATGTACTGATGACAACCGGGCCTCAGATGAACTCCTCTAGGGAGTCATTGCTGTCACTGTGTGGCCCGCTGTCAGGATAATCCTATAACTCACAGCCTTTGAGGCCTTTCATGGGTGGCACTGGAAGTGAAATTGCAATATTCTGATCTCTTATATCCTTGATTTTTTAAAAATAGGGTTTTTAAAAATTGATCCTTTTAGAGAGAGAGGAAGAGAGAGAGACACACAAAGATGTAAGAGAGAAATATTGATTGGTTGCCTCGCTCACACACCCCAACTGAGGATTAAATCCACAATCTGGATATGTTCCCTCATTGGGAATCAAACCCACAATCTTTTGGTGTACAGGATGACTTTCCAACTAAATGAGACATCCAGCTAGGACACATATTGTATTGTTTTTATCATTGACCCATTATGATTTTTATTTGCATTTCTCTGTTGGTTAGTGTTGTTTCCTTTTATTCCTTGTTTGTGTGGTTTTTTAAATTATTATGAAAAGGTGTTGAATCATGTCAGATGTTAACAGCTGACACCAGAACCTTCTTCCATACACCCATCTGTTATTTTTCATTTTCCAGGGGACTTGTAACAGTGAATATAAATAACACATATTCTTCCCTTACTAAACACCAGACTTTGTGCTAAGTACCTAACTTAGTAATAGCTAAGATATTTATGAGGCTTATTAAGTCACAGGCATTTCTCCAGGCACTTTCAGGGTAGTTCCATATATTATCTCAGTTCTTGCAATTACCTCAGGATATAACACTAGTACTATCCCAAATTTAAGGACAAAAGTTTATGTGAGTCACCATGAGGTCAAAGTTACTTGACCCAGAGCATAAAATTTATCATTAGGATTCAAACCCTGACCAAGCTGACCTCAAACCCTATGCCTAGAGCCAATAATGTGTGACTCTGTGTTAGAGTTGAAGTGAGCCTTAGGACGGGACTCACTCAAAGGCTGTTAGGCAGTGATGGGTACAGTGTCCAGGACCAAGATGCTCTGAACTCCAGCCATCTTTCAAAGAGACCCCTCACTGCACACTGTTCCCCTGTACTGTCTCTCTTTTCTAAGACTCCTTGGGAACTGTTTCTAACAAGTGTGAGGTGGTATCTCATTGTAGTTTTGATCTGCATTTCCTTAATAGCTAGTGAAGTTGAACATCTTTTCATATATTTGGTGGCCATTTGTATGTCTTCTTGGGTAAGATGTCCGTTCAGGTCCTCTGCCCATTTTTTTATTGGATTGTTTGTTTGTTTAGTGTTGAGTTGTATGAATTCTTTATATATTTTGGATAGCAACCCCTTGTTGGAGCTGTTGCATGCAAATATCATTTATTCCTTTGGTTGCTTTTGTTTTGTTGTTGGTTTCTATTGCTGTGCACAATATTTTTAGTTTGCTATAGTCTCATTCATTTGTTTTTGTCTTTACTTCTCTTGCTTTTGGGGTCAAATTCAACACTGAAAATTTTAAGGTAGTTCTCAAACTTGTTTAAACAATTCAGTCACATGAGGAGACTGAAATAATCACTAGCACCAATCTACACCCACAATTAAAGCAGAATAGGGGTCAGGCCCAGGCAAATTTTTAAACTCTCCACGTGACTGTAGTATGCAACCAAGACTGAACACCACTGTGTTAAAATATCAGCTTTTGGGGTATGCTTACCAGAAGTTCCTAGGAATGGCTGCCACATTATTTTCCTGAATTTCCACTCAGTGTTGTTTTGGGGCACTAGTGATTGCATTAGCTTTGATCAGGGACTGGGAAACTATGGCCCATGGGCGAAACCTGGTCTGTGGCTTGTTTTTGTGGAGCCTGTAAGAGTGGTTTTTATATATTTGAATTTTTGCAAAATCAAACAAATGATATTTCTTGACAAGTGAATATTATTTGAAATTCAGACATCAGCATCCATACATTAAGTTTTACTGCAACACTGCCATTCTGTCTCTATTGTGGCTTTCACTCCACAGTAGCAGAGTTGAATGGTTACAACAAAGACCAAATAACCCACATGGCCTCAAATATGTATGATCTGACCCTTTCCAGAAGAACTTTGTCCAGCTGTGCCTTAGAACCAGTGTCCTTAGAGCAAGTGCACAGTAACTCTGGTAAATGGTGGAGGTCCCTTTGGCAAAGCCCAGGAAGAAGATTTACTATAGATACTTGTGACTTCATTGTAGGATCTTCCCCAAGCACTCTATTCCTTCATGGCTTTCTGGGCCAGGTGTGGGAATTAAGTAAAGGATCATCATTCGCTGTCAAGATGGCTCAAGTCCCCAGACCTAGAGTTTATTTATATTTTCTTTTCTTCCATTTTCTTTTCTTTTTTAAATTAAATTTATTGAGTGGCATTGGTTAATATGATCAGGTAAGTTTCAAGTAGTGGTTTTTATGTTACAAGATCTGTATATTGCACTATTTGTCGACCACTCAAAATCAAATCATCTTCCATCACCATATATTAGGCCCACTTCACCTTCCACAGCAACACCCCCTTCCCTCTGGCAACCACCACACAGCTGTTTGTGTCTATGAATTTCAGTTTTATATTCCACATATTAGTGAGATCATATTGTTGTTAGCTTTTTCTAACTTATTTCACTTAGCATAATATTTTCAAGGTCCATCCATGTTGTTGCGAATGGCAGTATTTCATCTTTTTTATGGCTGAGTAGTATTCCATTGTATATATGTATCACATCTTTTTAAAAAATATATCTTTATTGATTTCAGAGAGAGGAAGGGGGAGAGAGAAATAGAAACATCAATCATGAGAGAGTCATTGATCGGCCGCCTCCTACACACCTGCAACTGGGGATCGAGCCCGCACAACCCGAGCATGTGCCCCGACCAGGAATTGAACCGCAATCTCTTGGATCCCAGGTCAATGCTCAACCACTGAGCCATGCCCGGGCAAGCTATACCACATCTTCTTTATCCAATCCTATATCATAGGACATTTTGGTTGTTTCCATGTCTTGGAAACTGTGAATAATGCTGCATTGAACATAGGGGTGCATACATCTTTGCAAATACATATTTTCAAGTTTTTCGGGTATATACCCAGGAGAGGGATTGCTGGGTCATAAAGTAGCTCTATTCTTTTTTATTTTATTTTAATTAATTTATTTATTTTTGTTTAAAATATTACAGATGTCCCTTTTTCTTCCCAATGACCCACTCCACCCTGTCCCAACCCCCTCCCCAGTCCCTCTCCCCACCATTGTCCGTGTCCTTGGGTTGTGCATATACGCATATAAATTCTTTGGTTACTCTCTCCCCCTCCACCCACCCGCCCTCCTCCATCCCTCTGACATTCGTCAGTCTCATC